GCGGGAGCGCCACCACGCTCCCAAGCAGCGCACTGTAGCAGTGCACCACCAGGCCGGCCCCAAGACAGAGCTTTTGAAAAGATACTTGTCATAAGCCAAGACAGAGCTTTTGAAAAGATACTTGTCATAAGCATTTTTCTGTTTAGAAATGACAACAGCAACAAATAATTTTATTGGCAAATCCTCAACCCTGACACAAAATTGCAGTACAATAGCATGCCATTCAGAAGGGTAAAATAAATAGGAATATTTGGAAATACATTAGGAAGCATCTGCCCTTACCCTAAGGAGAATTCTGTCTTAAAACCAATTTGAATCATTTTGAAAATTCATGCAATGACATATAGATCAAGGTTAAGTAAATAGAAGCATGAGGAGAAAATTAATAGATTCGATAGTGAGCGGGATGGTTTGGTGATGTCAAAATACTGGCAAGAAACCTCTATCCATACTACACAATCAAGCCAAAAAGTGTTGACATGCTCTCTTGACATATGAGGTTTGAGTATATTAAAACTAAAAAAGAACTCCTGAAATCTCAAGGTCATTTAAAATAATGACTGCTATGTTATATAAGACACATTCCCTAATGGCACTGTAAAGCTAAATTCTTACATAATTTAGCCTTCATGGACTAGATGTAAATCATTACACATGTAACTGAAAAGAGAAAAACAGTTATTCACAGAATTGTTATTGAAAAAGCAAAGATAAAATCAATCTCTTCACCACACAACAATGCATTTCGGGCAGGAGTGGTTAATTTTCTTGAAATGATGAATTTGAGACAGCCATTACACTATCCTTGTGAGTGGTGTATTACATCACATCTATCTACAGAGTATACAACCTACTGCATTTCTATGTCTAACTTGAAGTACTAACGTAGGATTATATCTTTCAAGAAGTATAAATGGTTAACTGTATGTTCAACAATTTGAAATAAATTCTTTTTCTCTCTATACTGTTTGATCTTATCATGCCACATGATTTTCACATGTACAGTCATTGATAAAGTTTTATTAAAATAACTATTTTAAAAATTTTTATACAAATTAAGATTCTTTATACATACACCACGGTATGTACAGAACCAAATGTAGCAATTTGAGCATTCAAAGCAGAAGGCCACAGGCTTATTGTCATTAGTTAAAAAAAAAAAAAAACCCACACTACATTTTAAACCCTTTGTAAAATAAATGTTAGGCTAGTAATGAGAACTTGGTAATTTCCCCTGGAAAATCTATTTCAGCCCTAACCATGGTTATGATCTTTACAGTGACATGATCATTTGTATTTGAGAGACTGCTAGTATTTCATGTAACCCTACTTCTCTCAGCTCCACACATTTATACAAATCAATGTCTAATTTCACAACAATCTCATAGGCACAATAATCTCAAATATCTTTAAATTTTTTGCATAAACAAAATTTAGAATTATTGTACAAGTTAACTGACAACTCAAACACATGGGTAGTTAGCAAGTGTGAATCCCACAGTAAAGTTCACAAACGTAAATCCCACAATGCCGGGCACTGTGCTAGATGGTGAGGACAAAAGGTAAATGAGAAATGATTCTTTCCTCAGAGGGTCGTAGTCTCATGAGAGACATTCAAATGAACAATTAAAGTGCACGTGAATAAAGTCATGCCGGAGGAAAGGACAAGGTGGTACGGGAGCCACATAAAAAGAGATGTAGTTCAATTTATGGTACAGTAAGAGGGTTCAAAGAAAACCTCCTGAAGGAAATGATGCCTGAATAATATTGAGCTTCTTCACTGGTCTCCTGTGTCCTAAAATCCTAAAGTGCACTGTTCCTTACCCTAAGGCAGTCCTTCTGATGCTTCGGTATGGTTCCTGTCCATTGTGAACACACTGTCGAAATGTCTAATCCAGAGGAAATACTACCCTGCTGACCCAGATTCTCTTGTGATCTCCATTCTCCAATAAGATAGCCACCAGTTACATGTGGTTATTTCATTTTAAATGTATTTAATTTTTAAATAATTCATATAATACAATGAAATAAAATTAAAAATTCAGCTCCTCACTTGCAATAGCTACATTTCAAGTACTTAACAACTACATGTGGGTGGCTACCGTACTGGACAGTACAAAACATAGCTCCGTCACCACAGAGATTTTTCTGAGATTAGCTGTACTCTGGATAGCACCTTCCTGCACTTACAAAGGCTTTCTATGGAATGATTCTTCTGCTCAACCTCAAGTTGGTTTATTAACATAATCTGCTAGTAAAATGCTTCTGATCTTAACTCTAGTACTTATTTTATTCTTCCCCGTTCCCCCACACAATCATCTTGTTTTCATGGGTTTAGGAACAAAAGGACAAGACTCTTAAGTGTTAGGGTAGAATCAGTCACCATGTGATTAATCATTTAGGTGTCACTGGATGTTTGTGGGCTAAATGCCCAAGCCCTAGTGCTGCAGCCACACTGACGTGCCAGGATGCCATCACACCCTTGACCAGTATACACAGGGGTATGGAAGATTCAATTAAATCCCTTCACAGAGCCCTGACTGTTTGCTCAAATACTCGGGAGAAACTGCTTGCACCTCTAAGGCTTTTAAGAAAAACACATCTTTACTTTGCGGAATTGCTGAAGTATTAAGAGATGACATATAATTCCTTTATATCCACTGTTCTAACAGGTGTGCCGACACCCTTTTGCCTGAACACCATTTGTCTTTGCAGATCATGGTAGGAGAAGGAATTCTGTACTGTTGCCTGTCCAAAAGAAGAAACGGGGTTGGACTGGAGCCCAACATTAATGCCGGAGGCTGCAACTTCAACTCTTTCCTCAGAAGAGCTGTCAGATTCGTTGGTGGGTGTGGGGAAGCACAAAGAAAAGAAATGTTCTTTCACATAGAAATGTTATATTTAATTACAGATATTAAGTCTCTAAAGCTATAATTTTGAAGTATAATTTCAGTACATAATAAGTTTTACATTATACAAGAAACTGTTAAACACCCAAATTGGGCTTTGTATCTGAAATGTGCTATTTACAGTTATGATCCTTGTTTTGAGAGTAACATGCCATGCATTTCAGTATATTTTTGTTTTAGCTCTGGTTGAAGCATGAATTTATTTTAAAATGGTTTCATTGGATCTGTGTTCAATTTTTGAAATGGAGAATACATGTCAGCTGGCCAATATGAATAGATAACTCTTCAGAAACTACTTTAGCCACATCAATGCTTCCATTTCAGTTGTCCTGGAGTGTTTTCATGCAGAAGATACTGCACATGGAGATGTCACCATAGAGTACTGCATCATGGCTATTTTTCCTTGGTGACAGCCTCTAACTTTTTCTCCTATTTTTTATAAGACCTGTAGAAAGTCTGTAGGCCTGGATTTTCTGAGCCAAACCAGTTTCTAAACATTCATTTCCTCTGAGTAGCATGGGACCAACTTAATGTTGTTTGAGTCATGGGCCTTTTTTTTTTTCTGACTGAGTTGATAAGTCTCCCTTAGTATATTACATCAACCTGAATGTTTTATATTCATTTCCAATAAGTCAGAATAAAGTTATTTTTACCTGTAACATGTCAGCTCAAAGAAATAGATAGATTCACTTAATACCTAGTAGATAACTACAACCATTGCTCCAACAAGTAGAAAAATCTGGTCTAACTAAAGCCTTAGACTCTGCTCCACTAAGCATTTTCTTACCATCACATCAAGATGGAAGCAAATAAAACTCCAGGACATGAAGCTCATCTCAGAGAAAATTTTCCCTTATGTTACAAAATGCCATGTACGAAGGGGAATATGCCCTGTCTGAAATGTCTCGTGACATTTCAGGTAGGATGGTCTACCCCACCCTAGAGAACAGTGTTCCAGAGTCAGCTGTTAGCCACCCCATCTTCTCTAAGCCTCGAGATCCTCATTTTCCAAAGATAAAAATAGGTGGGATTCCCTTTTTTTTCAAACTCTTCGCCAAGACATCTCATGCTTCTAGGAATTAGAATGTAGAAATAAAGTTTCTGTGTCATGAATCCCAGGTGTGTGGGTGGATAAAGCATTGGAGGAATGGTTGTTAGGTGACATTAAGCAGAGAAGAAAAATGCAAAAGAGGATAATGTGCAAGCTAGTGGACTTGGCCTGGAGGTGTCATTCAGGTGCCTCACATAATGATTTCTATGAGCAACTCGGGAATCAGAACGCAGGCCATCAAGTCAGAATGAATACAGGGTGTCTTGACACCTTGGTGCAGGTAAGTTCCAGATCATAAGTATGTAAGCAGAGAGCTAGACTCCCAAGGATAAGTCTGAGCAAGTGACTTCAAGCAGGCATGGAGTTTTTTGCACAAGTGTGCATCAGGATTTGTGATTTTGTGGTTTAAGACTGGTCCCAGAAGACCAAAAACGATATAGAATTTGGACCAGAAGATAAAAGAATATCATCTTCTAATTCCAAACAAGCAGACAGTCTCCCCACAGCCGTGTACCTAGAATATGATTGTTGTTTCCATGACAGGGCCTGCCTTCCCTCTTCTCTATTTTAATCAGCATTCCTAGTATGACTAGAGCTTGTAGGGAATTAGAACGTATTCTGTAGGGCTGGACAACTGTGGCTAGCATTAGAGGTCATCAGGGAGAGCGAACCCTGGCAGTTCAAACATGGTAAGCAATTAAAAGTTGTTTTTAATTTTGTTTTATCACCCACATTTAATCCTTCTCAAGTCACATAGTTGGTCACCTTAACACCCATGTATCTAACAACTGACCTGTGCTTAATAATGTTAAGATTGGTCCCATTTAACCAAACTGACAAAAGTGCTTCAAATTACTACTTTGGAGATATCTAATGTTCTTATTTTGGTCCTGAGTATCTGTTTAGAAGCTTAGGAATTTTCTATACTGCCTTCTTGAAATTAACTTAGAGAAAATGATCACCATAGATTTAAAAGTTGTCATGTTAGTGTGTAATAAACATGCTTGATGCTGACACAACATCAGCATTAACCACCAACTTGATAACAATTTCTTTTGTTTTGCTTGTAGGTGTTCATGTATTTGGACTATGCTCAACAGCTCTTATTACAGATATCATACAACTGTCCACAGGATATCAGGCACCATACTTTCTGACTGTGTGCAAGCCAAACTATACCTCTCTGAATGTATCTTGCAAAGAAAATTCCTATATTGTGGAAGATATTTGCTCAGGATCTGACCTTACAGTTATCAACAGCGGCAGGTTAGAAATTGAGATCTAAAAATATTCCACATCCATGTTTTTATTATTCAGTAATTTCTTTAGGTGTCATATTGAGCATGCCTTTTTCAGTCATCATGATCTTGGTCTTATTTTTCTTTTCAGTTTGGTGATCTCTTCAGTGACTATATCATGGGCCCGTTTGTGGCTCAATCCAAATCCTTCTCTCTGTCTCCCAATGTCAGCCTCACAGTTTTGCTACTAGTCACATCACCAAACTCCATTCGTGATCTATCCTATACTTGTTATGGTTTTAGGTAACCATGATTGGTTTATTTTAGGATATTTACAGTTGGTCATGGCTTACAGTTAATATGTGTCTTGTACTGGCTTATGTGGAAGAGACTAAACTTCTATGATAGTTATATCTCCATTGTATGTTTTATTAAAAGAATATGAATTTTCCTTTTGGTAGAGTTTGAGAAAGGGTAGCATCTGGGATTGCATATGTTCACTTTGAATGAACCCAGAAGAACTGATCTCTGCAGCTTCTGGCCTTACGTTTCAAACAATAAGAAACAGGAAAATTAAAAAAACTACCAGAGCATTAATTTTTTTCAATCAATAAAGTTAAAAAAAAAAACTTGTATGAGAAGAGATAGTATCTTAGAAGCTCAAAAGAAATAAATTACAGAGGAGGAAAATTAAAAAAACTACCAGAGCATTAATTTTTTTCAATCAATAAAGTTAAAAAAAAAAAAACTTGTATGAGAAGAGATAGTATCTTAGAAGCTCAAAAGAAATAAATTACAGAGGGATGGGGCCAATAAATGATTATTGTAGGAATTGGATTTGTCATTTAATGAGTTCCCAAAAACTCATTTCAGGAAAAGTCAAAAATAAGTTAATAGGTACACTAGAAGAATCAGCCTAGTATTACATAATTACACACATTCAAGTTCACACGGACCACTCAATAACTTTGTACCTGCATTCAAGCCTTGTGTCCTCTATTCTTTCTCAATCCTATTACATTTTCGTATCTGTGTTGAATGGTGTCCTCTTTATTGTGTTACCAAATAATTAGGAGGGCACAAATACAGTGAATTTTTTTCTTCCATTTTTTTTTATCCATTGGAAGAAATATCTATTCTTTTTTGTTTGTCCTTTTCAGTGTCTCTTTCACTACCCTGTGTTCTGCCTCCTCCATCCTACTCCTTAAATTGTTTAAATAAAATGCTCTATGATTCTTTAAATGATAATTATTTTAAAGTAGAATATACAGAAACATTTTGTTAAAATTAGATTTTTCTTATGCTTTCTAGAGTATAAAATATAGAATCACTGCTGTGAGAAAATAACTTCATCTTTTAAATTTTTTGTGTAATTGAAACCATATATCTAGGAGCTTAGAAAAAGTTTAAAGCTTTTAAACCCTAGGTGGTATGTACTTTTTCTTTAAACTGACCTAATGCTAATACTGAAAAACAACTATGGTGTTTTCCAACCCGTTTCTACTTTCAGCCATCCTTCCAGTGATGTAATGAAGCAGTCCCTTGCCTGGCTTGGGGAAAGGCACAGTCAGGATTGTCATTTTAAATCTTGTTTTTCCTCATATGCTTTCTTCAGTGGAGGAGAAAGGGATCAAATTAAAGTTAGTGTGCCAGGAAGTGTGTATGAGCCTGGGTCGCTCATGGGAGTGTTGATTAGAAGAGATAAAGAAGACTAGGAATTGCCACTTCCTAATTCATTCATTGCCTTTGCACATGTGTGATTTCATGGTGTCCTGGAATTAGCATGGGCTTTATCGTCTGTATTAGTCTGTCTCTGTTGCTCATAACAGAATACTTCAAACTGGGTAATGTATAAAGAAATGAAATTCATTTCTTACTTCAAAGGCTGGGAAGTCCACAGTCCAGGTGGTGCATCTGGTGAGGGCCTTGGTGGTGGCTCTACAGCAATGCAGGGTATCACATGGTGAATGGCTTGAGTGAAAGAGTGAACTAACCTGCTCACTTGCTCTCTGTATAAAGCCATCAGAAGCACGCCCATTACCACCCATTAAACCATCAATTTATTGCTCCATAAATAGATCAATCCATCCACTAGGGCATGGTCTTCACAATCTAATCACCTCTTAAAGGCCCCACCTTTCAATTACCATAATAGCATTTCCCACCCTCTTAACACTGTCTCAGTGGGGATTAAGTTTCTAATGCATGAAACTTTGGGGTACACAATTCAATCCATAGCATAGTCGAAAGGATTTGAACATGAATCTCAACTTCCCTGCCACTTGGCCAAGTTACATAGCTTCTCAGAAAGCCGTTTCTTCACCTATAGTAAGGACAAAAACTATGTGCCTCATATCATAACAAGGATTAAACAACTATATCACAGTGCTGGGCACTGAATATTGAGCAATACAGGCAGTGCTTATAGTCTAGTGGAGGATTTTTCCAAACTTACAAATTTAAATACAACATTAACAGAACATTAAGTAGGGACTGCTCATCCTGGTGAACTTTGATGGTGAGAGCGTGGACAGAAAATATTTAAAAGAAGATTTTAACCAGGAATTAAAATAGTTAGAAAGGCAAGAGCTTGACTTTACTTCCTTCCTGCTTGCACTCTGTGCCCTGAATTTGGAGATTTATCAGCTCTAAGCTAATGATGTTGTTCATTATTAAACATTCTATAAAATGTTGAATCCATGAAATTATTTTGCTTTGACTTGAAAAGTACACAGTGGCTACCTCCTATTGCAATTAGCACACAAACTGCTTGATCTTATCTCTAAACCAAGCATCTCAAAAACTAAAAATCTAGCAGGGAGTAGATCTTCCACATGTAAAAAGGGTAATAATTTTAAGTTTGAACTTCACCTTTTCCAAATTTTTCCTCCCAGATCTAAAACAAACGAAAAATTGATAGCTGAGTAGGAAGACAAATTTTTTAAAAATTGGCTGAAATTTAGTGTAATGGCACCTCAGTGATCAAATATTATTTCCCAATTTAAGCCCAAGTTTAAATCAGGGAAGGGCCGGCCCAGTGGCGCACTGGATAGTGCGCCGCTTAGGAGGCGCGGCAGCGCTGCCGC